TAAGATGATAAATTATCGTATCAAAATTCCATTTAATTTACTTGAATTTCTCTGAAAACTTGAAAAATTTATATAATGAATCAAAAGTATTAAATGAAAATTCTCCTAGTGATCTTGTTAAATTAATTGATCTGCCAATTTTGATAATTACAGGTTTCAGAGATTTCAAACCCCATAGATTAAATTGTCAAAGGATGAAAAACATTCTTAAAAAAATTAAAAATTATCAAACTTTTTTATTTATATAATCTTTATCCAAATGAACTTTTAGTACAAATATTTCAAACAATTAGAAGATTTATTTAGAATAGAGAACAAATGTTATTTTAGATATTTAGATATTTTCTTTAATTTAGATATAATTGTTTTAATTTCTTTTAGATGGAAATATTAATTATTTCATAATCAAAATTATAATCGAAGCAAGGGGCTTAATTCTGAATCTATATTATATTAATTTATTAGATGATTGGTAATTATAGTGAATCGAAAATATGACTATTTCATAGAATCAACATTAATTATTTCTATTATAAATAGTAGAGTTTAGTAATTATGGAATGTGCTTATTAAAAGACAAGTCATTTTCAAATTAATATACATAATAGTATATACATATTATGAAACTAATTTTTTATATTTCTAAAAATTGTGGAATTTCTTTTACTCAATCTTGAGTTTGAAAACCTATAATTAATTTATTTGAAATAAGAATTTACTATTATTCAATTATTATTAGGATGAAACTTTACTATACATGAATATCTTCAGGCCAATTTTGTTTATTAAAGCAAACATATATTACAATTGTAAGTTATTATATTTTATATTTTTTCGGAGAAATTTTACAGATAAATTATCATAAATAATACTTCTGAAATTTTAACTTACATTTATTATTGAAAATTGTGAAATACAATTTATATTAATTATATTTTATAATTCTATTAAAGTCCATGTATGTAATGATAAAAAATCAATATTTAATATAGATAAATGATTGAATACAAAGTTGAAACGTGTTAAGTGCACTCTTAAGAAGCTGTAATTGCCATCGATGAATCTGAGTTAGATTTAAAAATAAGAAAATTATGTCTATAATGCTTAGCCAAAGGATATAAGAGAAAAGTAACTTTAATTAAAGATTCTATAAATTAAGTGGAGGAAACTAAAGCTCAAATTAAATAAGATAGATAGTGTTAACTCTAAAATAACTTAGAATCCTTAAGTAGCCTCGTTGAAAATATAGAATAACTGAAAGATTTCTATATTCAGAAGATAGAGACAACGATAGAATTTGTGAAAAAGTGGATTATCTAAATTTAAAATATAGAGGAAGAATTTATCAATAAAATGTCATCTCATGATTAAAATGATCTACAATAATTTCTAAGTTTTATAAAGTAATAATAGGACATACAAATTAAGGAATAGCCTTAATTCTAAAGTAAAATTCAAGAAATATTAATTAACATGAAAGAGCCTGATTTATTAATTAAATGTAAAACCATTTTATTAAATGTACATTCTATATCTACTGTATTTGAGAAAAATACTATAATTGAAGATGAAACTAATGATTTAATTGTATGATTTAATATAATAATATAGGAACTAAAACTATAATGTGAGGATCATCCGTAAAAACGGATTATATTGCTCGATGTTGGTTAAGAGAAAACATGTAGAAAACGTTTGGCTTGCGAAAGCTGCTTAGATATTCATCCTTCATTACATTATAAATCAATTACCTATGTACATTCTCAATGGAAATAGGTATTATAAAAAAGACAAGAGAATATGAATAAGAATTTAGAATCAATGCAGTAAAAAGTAGAATCTATTAAAAATATGTTGTAATAGATGTAAAAAAGTATTAATTAATAGTTTGTGGAATCAATATAGAAATTGACTTCTAAATTTAATTAATATGGAATTCAAGTGGATGAAGTTCAAAGGAAAATAAACATCTCTTGGCAAAAATTATCATAAGAAGATATATCAAAAATTGCTGAAGAATTAAGTAAGATTGATTAGCCCTCTATTTTTGATGATCCTCTATTACATGAGTATACAACCTAAGATAATTAAGTTAATAAAATTATGCAAGATATTCTTCTATCCTTGTAAGAATCTTAAGTCACTCAATTAAATCAATTAAATCCATTTATTAAAGGGTAATTATTATCAAAAATGGAAAAATAATTATAAGGTACTTATACTGGGTTAGATTAGTTAGGATATACATTAAAAGATATTGATACTTAAACAAACATTAAAAATATCAATTTATAATTATAGAATTAAGAAATATAATATTCGATGTAAATCTAAAAAGCCAAAAATAGTAATTTTAAATTAGAATTTTAAACACAAGAAATATAAAGCCAAAATTTATTACGAGAAAAAGAAAATTTAAAGTAATTTACTTATGACCTAATTAAAGAGAGTTCAATCAAATAAGACTAAACATGCTGTGCAATGGCATTTAATAAAGATAAATCAATAGTGGCTGTTGGATGTGATTAATAAATAAAAATCTTTGAGTTTAAATAAGGAATAATGGAATAAATTTAACTACTAAATAAACATGAAAATAATATTTCAACTTTAAACTTTATGAAGAAGACAAATTAATTAATATCAGGTAGTCATAAAGATGGATAGATTATAATCTGGTTGATGAATCAAAAAAATTAATGGACTTGTTCATAAATATTAAATGGGCACTCAAAAGGTATTACCTGTTTAATTTTCAATAATAATGAAGATTTAATTATCTCAGGTAGTTTCGATAAGACAATTAAATTTTGGGTTAAATAGATTGAATGGATAAGCTAATAAACAATTACTGATCATGAAAAAGATGTATATGCATTAAGTTTAAATGAAAAATAAAATAGATTGATTTCTTGTAGTGATGATGATTATATATTTATAATAGAATTTTATGAGTAAGATAAACTGTGGATTGTAAAATAAAGAATAAAGTAAATAAATTTTGGTATTAGATTATGCTTCATTAATGATAATTTATTCTCTTGTCAATTATATTAAAAAGATTAATTGTATATTTACGAATTAAATAATTCTAATGGATAGTATATAAAAACTAAAGAGTTTCAAGTAAGATATAGTTAAAAAGATGGCTATTGTTTATTTCCTTAACAATATATCAAATAGAAATGCTTACTTATTAATAAAAATGGTTAATACATCAATTTAATGAAGAAGAATTAAAATGACGAATTTGAAATGGGGCAGATTATTGAATATTAAACTAGCCGTATATATGGAAGTATGAGTGATGATGGAGAGTATTTGATCACATGGGATGAATATTCAAAAGAAATTTAAATCAGGAAATATCAAGAAAAATGAGATATTTAAAGATTTATTTGATACAATTAATTCATTTTAAAAATAAAATAATATTATAACATTCAAGCAGATGTTGTTTAATCTTAATTTTATAATAGGAAATATATATTTAAAATTGTTAATAATGATGATTCATCTTATCTTCAAAGGTTAATTATCTTATTTTCAAATGAGTTCTTAACTTTATTTCATGATTACTACTTTTCATCAATCATTTTCTATATTTTTTCTATAGATCATTAACAAGCTATAATTATACTATCATATGTATTTTGACAATTGATTAATTAAACTATTCCTTAGATTTTTTTGATTTTGACAAATGAATTTGTTGAATAAATTGCCAAAAACTAATATCTAAATATTCAACTCTTAGTTTATAACTTTTTATATTATTGTTGAATCAATCTTTTCTAATTAGAATATTTGTATTATTAGAGTATTGTTCATAACTAATTATAATTGCACTTTTTGGTTTAATTATAAATTTATCAAATAGATTTTTTATAAATTATGGGGCATTATTTTAATAAACTAACTCTCCCTTTTTAGGATAAACTTCATATATTAATCAATTTTCATTATAATAATGAAGCTATGCTAAATTTAAACATTTTTACTTAAGACTTCAAATAATATTAAAAAAGTGTGAAACAAATCATTAAAGAGGCAGTTGATAATAATTCTACTAAATNCTCAGGTAGTTTCGATAAGACAATTAAATTTTGGGTTAAATAGATTGAATGGATAAGCTAATAAACAATTACTGATCATGAAAAAGATGTATATGCATTAAGTTTAAATGAAAAATAAAATAGATTGATTTCTTGTAGTGATGATGATTATATATTTATAATAGAATTTTATGAGTAAGATAAACTGTGGATTGTAAAATAAAGAATAAAGTAAATAAATTTTGGTATTAGATTATGCTTCATTAATGATAATTTATTCTCTTGTCAATTATATTAAAAAGATTAATTGTATATTTACGAATTAAATAATTCTAATGGATAGTATATAAAAACTAAAGAGTTTCAAGTAAGATATAGTTAAAAAGATGGCTATTGTTTATTTCCTTAACAATATATCAAATAGAAATGCTTACTTATTAATAAAAATGGTTAATACATCAATTTAATGAAGAAGAATTAAAATGACGAATTTGAAATGGGGCAGATTATTGAATATTAAACTAGCCGTATATATGGAAGTATGAGTGATGATGGAGAGTATTTGATCACATGGGATGAATATTCAAAAGAAATTTAAATCAGGAAATATCAAGAAAAATGAGATATTTAAAGATTTATTTGATACAATTAATTCATTTTAAAAATAAAATAATATTATAACATTCAAGCAGATGTTGTTTAATCTTAATTTTATAATAGGAAATATATATTTAAAATTGTTAATAATGATGATTCATCTTATCTTCAAAGGTTAATTATCTTATTTTCAAATGAGTTCTTAACTTTATTTCATGATTACTACTTTTCATCAATCATTTTCTATATTTTTTCTATAGATCATTAACAAGCTATAATTATACTATCATATGTATTTTGACAATTGATTAATTAAACTATTCCTTAGATTTTTTTGATTTTGACAAATGAATTTGTTGAATAAATTGCCAAAAACTAATATCTAAATATTCAACTCTTAGTTTATAACTTTTTATATTATTGTTGAATCAATCTTTTCTAATTAGAATATTTGTATTATTAGAGTATTGTTCATAACTAATTATAATTGCACTTTTTGGTTTAATTATAAATTTATCAAATAGATTTTTTATAAATTATGGGGCATTATTTTAATAAACTAACTCTCCCTTTTTAGGATAAACTTCATATATTAATCAATTTTCATTATAATAATGAAGCTATGCTAAATTTAAACATTTTTACTTAAGACTTCAAATAATATTAAAAAAGTGTGAAACAAATCATTAAAGAGGCAGTTGATAATAATTCTACTAAATCTTGAATAATTAGATTATTATCTATAATTGCTACTTAAATACACAAACAATATCTTTCCTTTTTTAAATAATATAACAAAGATTTATCATTATCTATATAGATTTTTACTAAATAATAAACCATTTTATTTAATTTTATCTTTATACTAAATAAATTGCTTACTATCCTAGATGAGCAAGCGGCTAAAGAGTCTTGGTTAGTATTAATCTTCCTTATTATTAACCATTTAAATGACTCTAAATCATCTAAATCATAAAGAAGTCTTTAACCTTGACTATATTTGGTTTTCTCTTTTTCATAATATTGTAAATTTCTCATGAATATATCTATATATCATTTTAAATTAAAAAGTATATATCCCTAGACTACTGATAGATTTTAGAATATTTAGTATAATAAATATTCATTGTGCATAAACTCCTTATAAAAGTTGAAAAATCTATATTTTTAGATCAAAATTTTTTATATCAGTAGAAATACTAGTTTTAAGCAAAAATAAAATACATCTAAATATAAGTTGATTTCTTAATTAATATTTCTATCTTATAAATCTATATTTTATAACTAGAAGTAATCTTCAATTTTATATATGATAGTGAAAAAATAAATTAATCAAAAATAATAAAAAGATTAGAATACAGCATCATCAATTACTCAAAGCATAAACTGTTAAAGGCTCTCAATAGCCATTATAAAAACGTAAGACTTAAGTTTACAATTATTAGAAATATGAAATTTAATAATATAATGATTAAAAACTATGAGCTTTTGTTATATTGATATAATTATTTCATAATTATCTAATTTTTTTAATATAATAGTATGATATTACTTTGTCTGTCTAATTGAAAATTTAAAGTATATTATTATAGATGAAACTCTGTTACTCTATCTTAATAAATATTATAGCTGCTATAATAAATATAGAATTGTTATTTACTGGTATCTAATTAGGAGATGATTATTTTAATATATTTATTAGAATATATCTAGAATTATCATATAGATTTCAACTTTATTTGCTATTTTTCTAATTTAACTAATTAGTTATTAATCTCTACTTCCATTTTTATTAATTTTTTTGTTACAAATAAATGCAATTTATCTTTATGTTGAAATTAAACTTAAAGTATCTCTTTTTGACTCTGAGATTGTTTATTAAATCTAGATTAGTAATATTTCAACTTTAATATTCTTCTATCAATAGTAAATAAATATTATATAATATTTAATTATTGGTTCAAACATAATTGATTTTAAAAAACATTTAAATACATATTTTAGATTTCTTTAGTTTATATTATTATTAATTTAAAAATATCAGAAATCTAATGATTATTTTTTAAGTATTATTATAATTTTTGTAATAATTGCTTTAAAATTAAAAATTATACATACAAAATGATTATTTTTCTATGTTTGAATTTTATTTTAGTTTTCTAAAGAAAATTGCTCTTTGTTGCCATTTTCTGATTACATTTTCTTCAAAATGTGATTTAATGGAACTTGAACCAAATTAATTCATAATGCCCTTACAATAAAATGTAAGATTGATAGAAATGGACTCTGATAACTTTGAATAATTAAATTAAATAACATTTGCTCTAACTGAATAAGCATTTAATATCTCATATTTAGAAAGTGAAAAAATAAGATCTACCATTATTTCTAATTTCATATTTTATAATTCAACACAATAACAATGGATATGCAGACTTTTGAAATTTTAATCATATAATATCCTTTGTAATAATGATATCAAATTAAATCCAACTGATATCGATATATTGAATATGGAACTTTAATTCAAAGTTGATATTATGACAGAAGCATAATATAATTGTGATGAATTCTTCTAATGGCAAATTTCTAACTTTTTATTATTTTGTAGTTCCCAAAACATTATCAAAATATATTCTGTAGATATTTCAAATACTACACTATTAATAACAGAAAAAGAGTTTGATTAGCATTAATTTGATTAATGTATAAGAGAATATATAAAATAATCAGAAGAATAGTATTTTATTATTTTATATGGTTGTTTCTAATGGGCAATATTTGAGTTTTCAGGGTCATCTTTAGATTTACTTATAGATTAATATATTATGTTGAATAAAACTAATTAAAGCATTCCTTATGTTCAAAGAATTTAAATCTGCAAGTACTTAAATAAAGATTTATCAGAATATTATCTAATTACAAATGATGGGTATTATTAATTTTAAGTGAATAATAAAAATAAATAATTATCTTGGGTATCATTTGAAAAATTCTAAAATATACAATAACTTATATTTATAAAAAATTGGTGTAAAGTAAATTATTTAATTATATATCAAAATTAAACTACTAGTATTATAATTAATATACTAAAAAAAGAATTAGTTAATATTAATAGTAATGTAATTTAAGTGCATGAAAGCTCTAATCTTATATTTTTATTAAGTAATAAAAGTTTAGATGTGATCATGAATTAATAGATTAAATAACACATCTAACTTTAGGCTAATCATTTATTTTTTTTAGATAATGATAAATATTTTTATTACATAGATGAACTTAACTCTTAAATTTCATTTTATAGTTATAATGATCTCAATTAATTTTTAATTCCAAAAAAAACTTATGTATTTAAGGTATTATTAAAAGATTAATTCGAAATAAGTCTTCTTAATTGTTACAAAGTTAATATCATAAATAATATTGATAAGGCGATTGTCTTTAATGATATCCATTTGTTAAATTCATGTTAAGAACATGATTCTATCATTTTTGATAAACAATGTATTGAATTACCAGAACAATATGATTTTTAAGTATAATAGGTATCGATTTCTACAATTCTTAATATTACTGATATTGTGGAATTTTAAAATAATTGTGACATTAGATTTATTTCAAAAGATTCTATCTTAATATATAGGGAAGATAATTATGCAATCTTCAAAAACAATCATTTTATCACAATTTAGGAGTGCATCAATAATATTAATTATAAAATACCAATTTAAACCTATAGTGTATTTCAATATCACTTATTCTTTTTGATTATCAACAAAGGAGATAAATTATTTAAAATAATTTAATAATCAATAAATTATTAAATATCAGTTGAAAATGAAATTGAAAGTTTTAGTTAATTTTAAATTCATGTTCTAATAATAACTAAAATGGGATAAAATTTTATGATTATCAGTATCAATAATTTAGGATAGGAAAAATTATCATAAAATTTAATAACTAAATTATTCTAAATTTATTCAAGAGAGTAACCAAATAATCATCCAACATTTTTCTATTATAAAAAATAAAATTATTAATTCATAGAATTTCATAGTAATTTACTAATTTATGATCTATATAATGATTAGATTATTATTCTACCATTTCAGAATATTTAAATTATATCAATAAAGAATTTGATAAATAATGTTTATTAGATTATTGCAGTACATCTCATAGAAGATGTAATTTTCTAATATATTTTTACTTACTCATAACAATTAATTCTTTAGTATAATTATACCATTATTAATGCTAAAATTTAAAGACCTTTAAAATTTAACATCTAAAATCATTAAACATAAAAAGAGGAATAAAGTTTATTAATCATATTAGTTGATAAAGATCAAGAACATTAGATATAAATTCTTCGAGTGAGCCATACACGGCCACTTAAATTAATAAGGATTATTAATGTAAGCATACCAGAATTTTTTATTGTTTAAACAATTTTACATTATTATGATTAAAATTTTGAAATTAGAGCTATTGATATTTTCTAATTTCATGTAAAATTGAAGAATATAAACACAAATTAAAGGGATGCTTTTTCAAGTGACAATTTGACTTTTTATATTGTTTCAAAATATACTACAGAAAATGTAATTAAGTGTATATTTAGATTAAATTAATATAATTTGTGTCATCAAATATATAATATACATAATTAGATTGAGATTATTTTAAATAATAAACAAAAATAATAAATTTAAATTAATGATTTTTTTGTAGGACCTATTAATAATTTATACATCACAAATAATTCATTGGTAAAACTTAATGGATTTTATTTATAGCATATCCCTATCCTATTTTGCTCTTAATTAAATAAAAATAATTGTATTATCACCATCAATCTTAGTAACAAACTTTTGCCTGATTAGAACAAAAAGTTTATAGCTCATATTTTAAAATAACAAAATTAAAATATATTCCTCTCCTTAATAGATGAGTAGAAAACATCTTAAAAAGGTTAAAATATCTTATTAGATATATTTTTAATTAATTAATGGTAATTAGCTATTTTGTCATTAATTAAAAAATAAATTATTATTATTATATAAGATATTGATAAGGATACTTTTGAAGTTAGGAATGAATAATAATTTTTATTATAAACTAATTTCGATCTTCATAATTATAAAATACATTTTACTGGATCCTTAATTCAAATTAAATAACAAAATCAGGAAATCTTATTTTTTACTAAAAATTATTACATCAAATACTAAGAAATATAGAGATATTAAGAAGGTTTATTATCTGTTGAAAATTCTAATTAGTTATATATTGAATTATAATCATAAAATAAACATTTAATAATTAATATTCTAGAGTTTGATGATACAAAATTTGAATTAATTCATTTTGCGGAAGTTAACTTTACAATTATTAACAATCTATTAAATAATCATTTTAATGAAGATTTTACTTAGTTTTAGCAATTTATTTCAAATCATATACTTAAATCTATTTAAAAGAGAAATTAAATTAATTTAATAGTCTTATAAGAATATCAATTTTTTTCTCTCATTCTAAATATTTCATTATAGTTAAACGATACTTCTTTTCAAATTGAAATTTAATAAGTTATTAGGAATCCTAAAACAATTAACAATATCAAATAAATATTTTATTAATACAATATTTTAATATTGACATCTGATAGAGAATAGCGGTATATATATGATTTGAATTAAAAGAGATAATTCTATGATTATAATTACATAGAGAACTCTACATCAAAATTCATTTGTTCTATCAATAGTACTCATTTCATATTTTAAAATTCAAACTAGAATTATTCTATTGGGTAACTAAATTATGAAATTGAACTATTAGAAGGGCACTCAAATCAAGAAACTTGCATTTTAGTTGCTGAAAATTCATTAGCTAAAACTGATATTAAATTAATTATTGCTAAATAAAGTGTGGGGTAAATTTGGACAATAGTTTTATTAACAATATCTAGTTTTTTAATATTATTATTTATCTCTATTAGTTTACTGATTAAAATTAAGAAAAAGAGAAATAATGTTTATTAGACATAAATTGAACTTTAAAATTCAATTGTATCAAATTTAAATTTATGATATTTTACAGGCATTTAAAAATAATAGTAATTAGTATTATTTTGTTTATATCTAATACAATTAATTATTTGTATCTTCTTATTAATGAAATCTTTAAAAAATTTTATTTTAAGTTATGATCTTAACTTTCTTATTTTAATTCATCAAAATAATCAAATCTATTTTAATTTCAAAAACTACATAAATCAAACAAAATGAATTGCCAGTCAAACTTTTTTTTTCAGTTCAATAGATATGTTTAATTAATGAATTTGCTAGTTTCTATATCAATTTTGAGAATGTAAAATCTTCTTCAAATTAACTTATTTTAATCCCATTTATTACCACCTCAAAAATATTAAAAAATTTGTTGGAGTTTAGTCAAATATTCTTTATTATAATTGAGAATGATAATCAATTTTTTGCAATTGCTATAGTATTTTGAAATAACTTAATTACTATTAAAAATAACTGTTCAAAATCTATTATAAATGAAAAAATAATAATATGTCACTCATGTATAGAGATAGTGAAAAAGACGAAAAATTATTGATAATATATATAATTATTATGAAATAAGTAATTAAAAAAAATTCAATATTGTTAAAAGTATTTCAAAAATTAGTGATCTTATTAAGTTAATTTCCATGAAAAATGCTTATTCTAATGAGATTGAGAAAATAAGAAAAGTGATTATTCTTAATATCTTTAATAGAAAACAATTCTTATTTTAAGCAACATTAAGGTAAACATAAATGAACTTCAAATTTACACTGCTAATTTAAATAGAGCGATTTCTGACAAGAGAATATTTATAAAGGTTTATAGTTTTTACAACAATATTTATATATATCAAATAATAAGAATAGAAAAATTAATTTTTTTTGTTATTATAGGGAATAGAACAATAGAATATTGATTGTTATTTTTAATTTATGAATAATTATAAACTACTTATGGTATTTTTACTCGCTTTCACACTAGGAGGTAGTAATTTATGGGTTAATTTAGCTTAACAATATATTTCATTGGGTAGTAATCTAAAATTGCATAGTTTAAGTGAATTGCATAATTTAAAGACTACCTAATTAGAATGCGGTCAAATATTGAGAGAAGTGAGCACTTCGATTGATGTATGGTTAGAAATCCTAGAGAAATAAGATTAACTCAACATAGATTCAAATAATCTTTAGAAATTAAAGCTATCATTATAAATTTTTCGTGAAAATGGTTATAATGATGTAGAGCCTGGTAATAGATATGTTTATAGTTCAAGTATTATCGCAATTCAGAAATTTATTCACAAAAATTATGGGTCAAATAAGTGCACAAAATTTAAGAAACACACCATTTTAAAGATGGAGAAAGGATAGTGTGATGGAATTATAAGGAGTAGTAAGTACATTAAATACTGTCGGGAATAAAAAAGACTTAGAATTATCGAGTGATAAAATAGAAGAATTAATAAATAGTTTAATGTAAGAGAGGGAATAAATTAGATATTAATGTTAGAAAGGTTCATAAGTAACATTATTAATTTAAATTAGAATACAATCAAGATTATTGCTAATAAAGTCAAATAAATTACTAATGAATGTTCTGATAGTTTACAAATCATTGCTAGAATTAAGCCAAATGATGATGAAGGACAAGTAGTAATTACTGGAAAACCTGATGGTCAATAATAAATAAAGGGTGAAATTAAATAACCTATTCATCCCACATAACCAATTAAACTTCAACCAGCTTATAGAGTTCTACAAGCTTCAACAGATGAGGGGGATGGTGAAGATTTTTTAAACTAATTGTAACTATCTGAATTTACTAATCAAACTCCTGTTTATTAAAAAGAAAGAAATAAACCAGAACCATTCACTGAATATGGTTATGGATATTGGGCTAAATTTTAATTAGCATATCCTTAATTCTTACCAAGTGGAAAAAATGAGATCTGGTATTTTGTTTCCAGATTGAGCGCAAATTAGAATGATTAAGATATCACTATGGGAGATAGGTTGCTAGCTATTTGGTTGGGTAAAGGATATTATCTTTTTACAACTTGTGATTAACCAAGTGATGAACCAAATAATCATCAAAAGGTTAATTATCCTGAAGATTTTGATGGAGTTTGGACTTATATTTACTATTCATACAGTGTTGAAAAAAAGAAGGCTGTTGCTTTTATCAAATTTGGAAGTGGTGATCTTATAAAGGTTATTCATTAAGTTTCGAATCCATCAACAAATTGGGTCAGATTCACTATTGGTGGAAAAGATTAAAATAGATATCATGGGTTTAATGGTTCATTCTAATAAATCTATTTCAGTACTAACCAGGGTGTTTTTCTTGACTCTGAGAATTGTGATATTAGTAAGTTGTAAGAAAATACATAACCAAATGATTTCTTGCTTGAATCAATCACTTATACACTGGTCTCAAATCTATAATAAAGGAATGCTGATACTGTAGAAGTTTTTTCTATTGTTGGAACATCTGATAATCCCTAATACCCACATGAATACACATTCAGTGGTTGGTTCAAATGGGAAGTACCAGAATAATAATAAGAATGGCATAATATTTTCAGAGTTTAAATTAAAGAGCCATCAACTGATGGATAATTGGGAGATAGAACATTGGTTGCTTGGGTTGGAAAGGGAGATGGAGGTATCATTCATTTGGCAACTTATACATATGATAATTTGGAAGGTGGTGGAAATCCAAATTTTGTTTAAAATATCCAACACTAAAATAGATATACTGAATGGTTCTTTATATCATTTGGATATTCAAGACCTTAGAAGAAAGCTGTTGCTTCAATTCAATGGAAAGAATCTACTGATAAAAAAGAATATAATAATATTAGACACTTCCATGTACCTAAGTTCTTCATATATGTAGGTAAAGACAAGATGTACCCAGGATTCAATGGTAAAATTGCATTAGCCTCTTTCATTATTGGAGGAGAACTAAATCTGTAAATAATTTTGGATTATTGGATTCACACAAGTATCCTAGATTTGATTAATAAGCAACTTAAAAAAAATTTTGATGTATAACCCTTCATTCCTGGATGCTCAAATTATATAAATGACTTATGTTTTAATTGTTTTGAGGGATGGAATTATTTAGATCTAATTAATTAGTGTATACCAATTTGTGGAGATAAAATAATTAAGGGAAATGAAGAATGTGATGATGGAAACATAATACCATTTGATGGTTGCTTTAATTGTAAATTCTAGTGTAATTATGATTGTTTAAAATGCCAATTTGGGAAATGTTTATAATAGAAAGAGATTTAACATTTTGATTAGAATAATAAAATAGATTGTCAAATTGATATCTATTAGCCAATCAAAGGATATTCATTGGATAATAATTTTATGAAGTGTATATCTATATGTGGAGATGGATACATTACAATTGAAGAAGAATGTGATGATTAAAATAGTATACCTTATGATGGTTGCTTTAATTGTAAATTCCAGTGTGCTAAAAATTGTCAAATATGCCAATTTGGGAAATGTATTTAATGTTTAATTGGTTACAAGCTGAAATCTTAATATTGTTATCCTATTTGTGGAGACAATTTGACTTTAGATAGTGAATAATGTGATGATGGTAATAATGAAAAGTTTGATGGTTGTTATAAATGTGAGTATAGTTGCTAAATAGAATGTTAATTATGTGTTAATTAATAATGCTTTTAATGTTTAGAAGGATGGTAATTAATTAGTAATAAGTGTGAATAAGTTTGTAATGACAATATGTTAGCAATATTATCTATTGAATAATGTGATAACGATGATGATATGTATTGTAATGGTTGCATATCATTATGCTAAGATAATTGTTTATCATGTCTTGAATATAATGAATGCTAATTTTGCAGAAATCCATTTTAATTGGTGAACGGAGTCTGTACATCTATCTGTGGAGATTCAATTGTAACAGTTGGATTTGAATAATGTGATGATGGAAATGATATTAAATTTGATGGTTGTTACTAATGTTAATTATAATGTTCATTTGGTTGTATTTAATGTTAGAATAATAACATTTGTACATAATGTGATCCTAAATTTACTGAATTAAATATTAGTACTATGAAATGCGAATAAATAAAAGTTGAAATAGAAATTAATGAAGAGATTTTAGAGGATAATGATAACTAATGTGGAAATGGTCTACTTAATAGTCTTTATGAAGATTGTGATGATGGTAATATTGCAGGAGGAGATGGATGTTCTGCATATTGTAACATTGAAGAATCATTTATTTGTGAGAATGTAGAAGGCTCAATAAGTATATGCACTTATCTAGAAGCTCCAAAGTTTAAATTAAAATCACTCTCTGATAAAAAAAGTTAATCATAAATTTTAGAACTAAGCTTCTCTCAAAAAGTAAAATTGAGTACTGACATTGCTTTTGAGAATATTACTATTTTTACTGTTTTACCAACTATAAGATATGACATTAATATAATACCACTGGTCAAATGTTCAACAGAATTTAACTAATCTAAATATTAAATATCTATATTTTTTAGAGATCCTGTCAAAAACCCTGTTCTTAAAGTTGAAATTGAGAAATCCATGATTATTAATGAATTGAATTAATATTTGATGGATAATACATTAGAAATCAATTTAGGAAATCCTTTTGTGATATCTGAAGCAACCTAATAAACAGTCACTAAAATTGTATCAATGAATGATGCTATGATTTATTCGATGATATCAATTTCAGGATTAGTTTTGTTGACTGGAAACACAATAATGTTTTTGAATTTGTTAGATTTGTTGCAATCATTATCATATCTTAGATATATGCAATACTAATTCCCTTAACATTTGAAATAATTCTTGGACACTTATACTAAAATATCACTATAACCAATTTTAGATTTTCTATAAATTGATCTTATCTTATAAAAACTAAATGGTGGTACATTACCTTTTAAAAAAAAAGAAGTATAAATTGAGTTGAATACATATTTTTTAATGAATTCCAAAAGTTGTTATTTTTCTATTTTGTTATCTCTTTTTTCATACTGTGTCTTTTGTTTGATCACTAGTTCAAAAATGCTCTATTGGCTGTAGTGTTTAGAATAGCGATTTTGGGAAAATAGTAAATACTTAAGATTTTAGAGCTTTATTTAATAAAAAATTATTAGAAAATGCCTTCGATTGAAAATTAAGTATTTATCGTTTGGGATATTTCAAATGTATTATTCAATTCTTCATTAATTGATATTTAGTGCTCTATTATAGTTTCCAAATTACACATTTGATTCAGCATTTAATATCTTTAATAGTATCAATGCAATTATTGCGCTTTTATTTATATTGTTCTCAACCATAAAATTGTTTTCAATAACTACCAATAACATTAAAGATGTAAGAAAATGGAAATATTTCTTTAATGAAAAGATTAATGGATTTTGGACAAAAAATTATAAATCATTTTAAATTTGCAGAGTGATATTTTATATTTTTAATATTGTAGCTTTTATTGATTATCCGGAATTATAATCAATATTACTCTCCATGTCATCAGCAATCTATTTGATTTATTTAATTTAGAATAATCCTTTGAGATCTTAATATGATTTCATTAAACTAATTTTTAAGGAAACATTCCTATTGATTATTACTGGATCTTTTCGTATATATAGTTTCAACCTAAGCAATGAATTACTCTTATTATGTGGATGGATACATATTGCTTTATTTTCTACAATGCTAGCTTCTAGTTTAGTAATAGACATGATAAATCACTTAATCAATGCTTATAATCACTATTAAAATCTAAAATATTAAAATGAAATAAAAAAAATATAAGAGTACTTTCACAATCGTTTACAGAGATTTATTTTGAATGATCCCGAAAATCTATTTGTCTAAAATAATAAATTGAAAAAATGAATTTAATAAAATATAACTTATTAATTTTAGACATAAATAGTTAAATGATATAATTTATATAATTATATAGATTGGCCAATTCATTAAAATTTTATAATTTTTGTTTGCAGGAAATGATGTGTTTTCTGTAAACTAACATTATTAATTTATTTTTTTTAACTGATTAATGAGCAATTTTCTATCATCTGATCTATTTTATATGCCTTTCATCAACCATGTATATGAATAAATAGATATTATCACATAGACTTAACAAAATGATAATGAAAGATAGAAAGAATAAATCAATTTTAAGAAAAATTTTCTTTCATCATATTCACCATTTTTCTTTAGAAATAAATTAATTTAAAATCAACTACAAGGTATAAAATCAAAGTAATTTCTGTCATAGTTTTATTATTGTATTTAATGAGCCAAAAAGAGGGTTTATTGGATTAAATTTATTTTCTTCCTACAAAGACTTGATTTTATATTGTTGTTTTTTGGTCTTAGAATACTCAATAAGCATTATGATATTTATTTATCATAATTTCTAGTATAAGTTTACCAGAAACACATCCTTTTCTGAAAACATTTATAATAAAAAAAATTAATAAATTAATCGTATAGATGATTCAAAATAGGCTTTCTAAATTATTAAAAAAAAGAAGGATAAATGAATTGGAGAGACCATATTATCGTTAATGAAGTCTTAGATTTTTATTATATATGGCTCAAAAAAATCAAGCTTGAATTACTTGTTAAACTGTATATAAAAATGTTAAAGGAAAAAGAAATCATTTGAATCTAAAGAAGATGACGATGCTCTAATAGTGAGAGACTAGAATCATGAAATACCTATAAAACAAGAAAGAAACGAGAGGTTAGAGACTAATGAAGAATAACTCTCTTTCAATATCAAGAGAATGAGACTCGATCCTAACATTGTAAGGGGACAGGCTAAAAGGTGAAGAACTTAACCACATAGAAACCAAATTAATGCAAATGGAATATTGAAGGAACCTAAATAACAGTCTCAAGGACAAGTGAAAACACTAACTTATTGTCGAACATAATGAATGTTTATAATTCTTTACTTGGAATGGATAGGTCAATAAGATTGATTCTCTGAGTGACTTCCACTCTAAGCCATTATTTATACAATTGACTTTTTGATCTAAAAAAATAATGCTTTAATCTTTTGTCTTAAATTTTTTAAATTACTATTCTTGGAAATTATCCATTAATTAATTCTAAATCTAAATGAAGTTTCTGTGATCTTGTTTTAAATTTGAAAAATTTGGAAATAATCATTATTAGAAAATTAATTATTATCTAAAGTCATCCAAATATATCTCATGTTTTTATTTTTTTTTTAAATAGGGATGCCTACTCTTCTTTTCTGAAATATTCTTTATGTAACAGGAATTTTCAAATAGTTTTCTTCATCAATTTTATTTATTGAATCTAAGATATAGTATATAGTTTTTTGATTATTAAATAAACTAATAAGAACAATTCTTTTTATTACAAAACCAATAATTACCTAAAGGAAGTTTTCTATCCATTTTTTATATTTAGTTATGCATTAGATTTCTCTTTTTAAATTGTTTTAATACTATCTTTCATACTTTAAAGGTTAACAGAATTTAATTAACCTAAACTATAGTTATTAAATACCATATTCTTTCTTTAAAAGTTTAATACCTTTTAAATTGTGAATTTAGATGTCTAATTGACATATCAATCCAATTTTTTTGAGTAAATTGATGTTTACCTTAATCCTATTTATAGAGATAAAATTAGAAAATATGATTGTTGTATTTAAATTAAACTTTCTTTTCATATTCTTAAAGTAATCTGAGCCTAGATCTAAGTTTATTCTTTAATTGATAATATAAAGCATACTCAAAAAAATCCAAATTTATTATTCTTTGAAAACTGCTAATCATCTTAAGAAAGGTGAATATTTAATTATTGATTATTTTATCTCTTGATATGAAATTTGATTGTATATTATAATAATAAATTTACTTTTACTAGAATCAATGAATTTCATTTTAATAAGATTAGCTTGAAACATCTTATGATATTACTATAAGTAATTAATCGCAATAATTAAATTCAAACTACCAACAAAGTTCTGTTTCTTGCAATTCAAACTGAAAGATTTCGTTTATTACTTGAATCATCAGTTCTTGAAATAAACGAATTTGATTCTTATAATATATCATCAAATTTCTGGCAAATTTTATTCAAAGTTTTTTCTAGACTAATAAGATATAACTCTCGTATCTATTGGTTTTGAAAGATAAAAAATATTCCAAAGATTTTATAAATTATAGTTGAAATTGAAAAAATCATATGAAATAGCTGAAAATCATCGAGTAACAAAAGATCTATATGATCATTTTTTAAATTCAAAGGAATTTTTATTAAAGGATACTAAAAATTAATGAGGAATCGAACTGGTAGCTATAATAATTTAGGTAAAATTATTTATTTGTCAAGAATCATTACATTTAATTAAACTTTAGAAAAAATACATTCTTCACTCTAAACAATTAGAAATTTTCATTTGCAAATAGATAAAAAAAAATGGAGAGGCAATTTTTCATAAACTCATTAAAGTAAAATATTATTAAGTAATTGTAATGCTTTTTAAAATAATCATTCTAATTTTTATTTTAAGCTATCTAAAATATAACTTCCTTTAGATTTTAATAATGATCTTAATTCTACTCCTAAATAATTTTCAAATTCTCCTTGTAAAACTATAGCTCCTTTTGCTTAAAATATTGCAGACTAAGATATAAAGAGTGTTGTAATATAATTGGGGTATAAAAAATTAAATATCTAATTACTATTTTCTAAAAAAGGATAATTTTAAAACAGTAAGGTCTTAAACTATATTAAAAGATGATTAGAATTTTAAATTGATGACTTATATTCTTTTTCTGTTTTTATATCCCATAGACGGATAGATTTATCATAACTTCCAGAAGCTAATGTTACACCATCAGGAGAGAAACAGACTGATAGGACAGTACCACTATGACCATCTAATTTGGCATTTTATTATCCTGTTTTGACATCCCATAAACGGATAGACTTATCATCACTACCAGAAGCTAATGTATTTCCATCAGGAGAAATACAGACTGAATTAACATTACTAGTATGACCATCCAATTTTGCATTTTCTTTTCTCTTTTTTACATCCCATAGATGTATAGAGTTATCATTACTACAAGAAGCTAACGTGTTTCCATCAGGAGAGAAACAGAATGGCATTTTACAAAGCTAATGACCATCCAATTTTGCATTTTCTTTTCTCTTTTTTACATCCCATAGACGTATAGAGTTATCATTACTACAAGAAGCTAACGTATTTCCATCAGGAGAGAAACAGACTGAAATTACCCAAAGCCAATGACTATTTAATTTAGCTTTTAATTATCCTGTCTTTAAATCCCATAGACAGATAAAGCAATCTTTACCACAAGATGCTAACGTAGAACCATCAGGCGAAAAACAGAATGATAAGATTTGATAAGTACGAAAATGCAATACGGCTTTTTGTTATCCTTTTTTTACATCCCATAGACCTATAAAGTAATCCCTACTACCAAATGCTAATGTAGAACCATCAGGAGAGAAACAGACTGCTAAGATTCCCTTAGTATGACCATCCAATTTGGCTTTTTATTATCCTGTTTTAACATCCCATAGAAGTATAGAGTTATCATCACTACCAGAAGCTAACGTGTCCCCATCAGGAGAGAAACAGACTGACATTATACAAAGCTAATGACCATCAAATTTTACATTTTATTATCCTGTTTTAACATCCCATAGACGTATAGAGTTATCATCACTACAAGAAGCTAACATGTCTCCATCAGGAGAGAAACAGACTGACATTACCCAAAGCTAATGACTATCTAATTTAGCTTTTGATTATCCTGTCTTTACATCCCATAGACAGATTTAGGAATCCCTACTACCAGATGCTAATGTAGAACCATCAGGTGAAAAAGAGACAGATAAGATTCCATTAGTATGACCATCCAATTTGGCTTTTTTTTCTCCTTTGTTTACATCCCATAGACAGATGGAATGATCCCTACTACCAGATGCTAATGTAGAACCATCAGGTGAAAAAGAGACTGATAAGATTCCATTAATATGACCATCCAATTTGGCTTTTTATTATCCTGTTTTAATATCCCATAGACGTATAGAGTTATCATTACTACTTGAAGCTAATGTATTTCCATCAGGAGAGAAACATACAGAGTATACATCATAAGTATGACCAACTAATTTAGCTTTTAATTATATTGTTTTAACATCCCATAGTAGGATAGACTTATCCCAACCACTAGATGCTAAAGTATTTCCATCAGGAGAGAAACAGACAGCTAAGACAGTTTGATTATGACCAACACATTTAGCTATTTATTTTCTAGTTTTTATATCCCATAAACGAATAGAAATATCATCACCACAAGATGCTAATGTATTACCATCTAGAGAGAAACAGACTGATCTAACAGTATTAGTATGGCCATCTAATTTAACTATTTATTATCCTGTTCTAATACTCCATAAACGGATAGACATATCATTACTAGCAGATGCCAATATATTGCCATCAGGAGAAAAACAAACTTAGTTGACTTAACTTTAGTGACCAACCATTTTATTCAATTCATGAATTTTCAAGTTCTTCCATTTACAGTTCAATAATAATGCTCCATTTAAATTCATCCCTTCTATGTTAACATTGTTAAATTCAGATCCACTTAAATTGCATCTAAAAAAATTAGCTCCCACCAGAGAAGTATTTTAGATCTTAATATTTTAAAAGTTTTTGTTCCTAAGGTCCACCTTCATCTAAAGTAGTATATGTAATGAATTAGACCCACATTAAATTAAAGTGTTATCTATCGATGTGAGATGAACTAAAAATTGCAAAAATTCGCTAATCTATCCTTTATTCATAATGCTTTTAATCA